TCATGAAGTGAAGGGAAGAGGGAATTTTCAAAGAGATTTATTGCTTTAATTTGGTGCATAGTACATTTGTATGTCTCTCTCTGCTAGGTCCTCTTCATTATTGCTACGGCCATAAATGATTGTGCCAGCCTGCTTCACTCAGTGGAAAATTGCCCCCTGAGGGATCATTTGGAGCCTGAAATAAATTCCCCCACATCAAGAGCAGAGTCCAAGGCACTTTCTACCTTGGACATCCTTTGGAGGCCTCCTGGAGAATGTGTTTTGAGCCCTGCCAACTCCAGGTCCAGGTCAGCTCTTTGCATGCTGGCTGGCACCATGAAAGTCCTTAAAAAGTGGTGAGAGCAGGGGAGAACACCACAAGGTGCTTCTGCAGTAATACCACGAATCCACCTACCAAATTGTACCTCCTGCCTTGTTTTATCAGGATTCAGTACCACATTGCCTGGCTGCTCCTGAAGCTCTATTTCCCTCTTCTTCACCTCATATTCTTTCCCTCTTTTACAAAGCAAATGGAAATCAATAAAATCACTTGACTGTAGAAGGTGCATAAACATTGAAAACCTAATATTTTTGTTTTTTAAAAATAAAAAGCTCAAAACTTTGTTTTCCTCAGAAGACTAGATAGCATCACTGATACTATAGCTTACATGTAACCAGCTCCCTCTTTTGCTTTAGATATCAGTGACATCAGCCATAGCAGGGAGCAAAGAAATTTAGCAGAGATCTTAGAAGATAGCTACCTTTTCTTCAAATGCCTTTTAAAATTCTGGAAATGATGACACAAACATATTCTGCACTACACCTGCTGCAGCAGCCCAGAAAAAAACATGTTCCCTCTGTATTTCAAAAAAAAAAATCAGTGTTTGGGTTTTAATTTTTATCAGAGACACCACTGAATGTCTCTGCTTTCAGAAAACATAGGGGAGCCATAAGGGAACACACAAGGTATTTTCTTTTACATCACTTATCCTGTTTTTTTGCTGGCAGGGAAAGGTGAATGCCCATTCTGAGTGGTGGGAGCTGAATGGCAAATGTTCATTTTTTATTTTTAAGTCTAGATTCACTTAATCTGCATTGCATCAGAGTGCAAAATGTTGAAAGGTAGGAGCAGTCATTCAGACTTTATTCTCATAGTTCAACTTTATCACTGACACAACTACATCTATCTGAAGTTTAAATTACTCAGGGGTGAACCTGGCACTATTCTCCATTTCATTTAGTAACTCGCTACTGTACAGTTAAATGGCAACACCCTCACTGTGGGTAACATTATACTGGGCTGCAATTGCAGTCTGAGCTCATATCTAGCACAGGACTTGTCAGAGCAGTCCATTCTCAGGCTGTTTCGCTCTGCCTCTTTTCTAGGTACTTACCACCACATGCAACCTTCTTACTAAATGCAGTATCTGCTTTGTACTCTCTAACTTTTTGAAATTCAGTTAGACACTAAGCACTAGAACTGCATGAAAAGCAGCTCAATGTATCTGGGTTACGACAGATTTTCCGTCTTTTTTTTATATTTAGAGCACGACAGTCAGTGTTTTTTCTGTCTGTGAGGCTGATTAATAGGAGGGTCCTCTGCCTTCCCATAAAGTTACTATTTTGGATCAACGTAGACAAAGCTGCAAGCTACAAGCTGCAAGAGAGCAGCTTGTTGGCACAAGTGTCTTGCAGACACATGCTGGAGAGTCTTAGCAGAAGCTCAGTCACTGTAGTGTAACTGTGTGAGAATTAGCCTACAATAGAGTAGTTATTTATGTAGCTATGTTGTCATACTATGCAGAGAGCTTGGGAAGCATCTCCTGCAGTTGAAGCAGTTACTCTTGTTTCAGCAGTAGACTTAGAACTGCTAAAAAGAGAAACAAGGGAGATTTCACCCTTCCCAGCAGACAAAAGGCAGGAGTCGCATGAGACACATTAGTCCTGAGCAGTCCCTGACCTCTTTAAAAATGGACACAGAGAGGTTAGAACTTTTGTCCTCTTCCAGGCTCAGCACTGCTAATGGAAGCAGTGATGGAGCTTCTGGGGAAGATTATTGCTCTGCCAACAAACCACAGCTACCAGGACCATACCCTAATCAGTCTTGGCACTTTAAAATCATCTGCATTAGCTCAAGCTATCTGCAGACAGGCAGTGGAAGAGTAGGTGAGATGGAGGACTGCCAAACAACAGCCCTGTTCGGGAAGAGAGGAGGAGGAGAAGAAAAGGCAGAAAGGCAGCCCCTCTCCAGGGCACCGAAATCATGAGATTGTGCCTCTTGTAGGCAGAGATGGAAGGCCTCGAATATTTCCATTTCACACTTTTTACCTTTAGCTGTTCCATCTTATATTGTATGCATGGTATTTAAGAGCTTCTGTTTGTTTGTGATAAGCTCTGCTCAGACTTGAGAAGGAAGAACTGAGAACAAGAATTAAAAATGCCATGGCAGTCTTTGCTCCAAGAAAGGAAAGAGATATTTTTTAATCTCTGCTAAGGCTTCAGATATGTATGTGGAAGTAGTAGATACATTTTGTGCTTTTACTTATGCGGATGAGGGAGAGAATTTATGCAGTGTGGTTGTATTGCTTGTCCACATTGCATGTTATGAATCTATGTCAGAAAAGATTTATTTCATGTGAACAATCTTGTGAAGTTGTATAACTTGTGGATGGGAATCACACCTGCATATATGAACCCAGGTAGCTTTTGCATTGTGAGGTACCATGAATCATCACTGCCTAGGGGCAACCTACAAAGTTCTGTCTTCAACAACATTTCCAAATGGAGAAGACAACTGAGAATAGAGAGCAAATCAAAATGCCTGTAATACCACTTCTGAAACAAGTTGCTGTATTTGAGGATTTATCAAATGAAGTATTCTAAATATCCATAAGATGTTAAAATATTATAGTGCTGTTGCTTGACCTACTGACATGCAGCACCCAGGTAGCGTTGCCTATGCGGTGACCGCCTTTGCGGAGCGGTGCTGACTTGTGGCATGCTCAGGGTTTGCCAGGGGCTGTGCTGGCTGGCTCTGGTTAGAAGCATGCCCAAAGCTGCTCAAATGCCGCAGCAGGACAGCGGGACAAGAACAACACCAGGAGCATTCCCAGGGACGTAATGTCCACTTAATCACAGGGCCTTGTGGCCAAAAGGGACCTCCAGAGGTTGTGTGCTGTTGCGTTAGTCTTTTTAAATGCCTGCCTAGGTGGCTCTTGAATATGAACAGTGGTGAAGACTGATCCTCATGCCTGGGCTGTCCATTCCAGCGCTTCACTACATCTCGCTAGAGAGTCCTTCCCAATATCTGCCTGTGAGGTATTTAAAGCCTCGTTTTTGAACAACAGGAAGAAAAACCATTTACTTTGTGAGCAGATAGAAGAGTGCATTCCTTCTCTCTTGCATATGTGAAGGCAATTGTTATGGTTCCCCATGTCTAGATCAACGTCTCCAGTTCCCTTCCTCTTTGGCGGTTTCTCTGAGGGCTCTTTTCACTCTCCTCTAATCTGTGTCTTCCTTGAAGGACAGCAGCCTCCAAAGATGGGCACAGTTCTCCTGCTGAGAGGTTAACAACACTGAGAAGGGTATAAGGACTGCTTCACACATCTTGTACATTATATTCTTACTTCTATATCCCAGCATGATAATTGCCTTTTATTTGCAGCATTGGACACTGCCATCCCACTGGCTCCTGCCCAACCTGTGAGTCACGGTAACCCCAGATCTTTCCCTGTAGAACTGCTACCTAAATTCTTTTTTCTCCTTCTATGTTTGTGCAATTCATTATTTCTGCCTCAATACAGTACTTTGTACCTGTCACTGTCAAATAGCATACAGTTATTTTTCAAACATAGCTCCAATTTATCAACATAATTTTATACTCTCAGCTTCCTGTCATCTGCAAATATAATAATCACATTTTATTTCATTGTCCAATTTGTTAATGAAAACACTACATAAGCCTGAACTCAGGACAGACTGATCAAAACCCTATCCAGTGGCTCCCTCAACTTTGACAGTAAGTCAAAGTATTTTCCTTTTCAGCATAGCTCTCTAGCTAACTAAAGTAGTATCTGTCTCCTTAGCTTATACACAAGGATATTATCCCAGAGAGAATCAAATCTCTTTCTGGAGTCAGGTTACATGACACCTATTTCTCTTCCTTCATGTGCGAGGCCTGGTAGTTGATTTTAGTAGGAAAATAGCTTGATTAAGATTGCATGTACTCGATAAATTCATACTGTTACTCATCTGCAGACCTACTGATTTTTTTTTACTATTTTTCCAAAATGGACATGAATCTGTTTTTTAACTCATAAACCGTCCCTTTTCTAGGGCTGTTCACTGTGTTTGTCCTCCTCTGGTACTCCCCTCTCATCCTTCCCAAGGCCAACTCTGGGATTTCGTCATTTAGGTCTTTTAGTGCCCTACGCTGAAATTCATGAGCTCCATCTAGTCTGAAAGCATTTTATTTGTCTAGGTGCTTTCTAAGTGTGTACTACAGAGGTTTCAGCAGCTGTGACAATGTCTGCTGCATTTCACTCTGTCTATAATAAGCAGGGCACTATATCGGTGACAACAGAGAAACCACTGGAAGTTGCTCTTGTGTTAAAACTCAGCTCTCTGAATTTCTACAATCAGCCACAAAGACTGAAGCAAGAAGACATTTCCCAAATATCTTTGGATATTTAAAATTTTAAAAATAATTTTAATTTCTCCCTTCAAATGGCTTACAGTTCTTTGATTTCTGTTTTTGTTTGTTCTTTGAAAAAAGTGTATATAAACCTACTCTTGACAGTTGGCATTCTGACGAATGCTAGAGAAGAGAAAGGGAGAAGCCAGTTGCAATTCTTGCTACTGCATCAACACATCTGTTCATGTAGGAGGTTACAACACCAAAGCAATCTCATGTTCTTTTGTAACTACTATAATTTTATTGAAGGGATTTTTTCATAACTTTAATGTGATTCCTGACGTTCACATCACTGTTGCTCCCAGGCTGCTGAATGTATCTGCTCCGCTTACTTACACCTTGAAGGAGAGCAGATGGCTTGCTGGAAGTTACCTCCGATCACAACATAAAGTAGTAGGTTACCACACGTGTTGAGTGCAGCCAGGGGCCTACAAATGATATAGGCAGAGTGGATTTGCTTCTCCATGAGACAGTCAACCGGACAAAATCACAGGTCAATCGAACCACCCAGAAGACATGGAAGGGGAGGAAGCACACATAAAAGACAACTACAGTAATGATGGCAAGTCTATGGGCCTTCTTTTTGTAGCAAGCATGCATGCGGGGTCCCGTAGCCAAGGTATAAATAATGAGCGTGTAGCACAGCGTCACTACCTGAAAGGGCAAGAAGAAGGCCAGGCCAGTCAGAAGCCAGTTATACCACCTGATGGTGTTGAGGTTTTCAGAGCTGATGAGGTCAAGGTATAAAATTCTGTTTTGCTCCACTTCTGAGGAGATCAAGAACTTTGCAGGAGTGACAGTTGCCAGTGAGATCACCCAGACTATAGAGCAATCCACTATGGTCTACCATTTCTTCTGGGCGTGCAAGAATTTCATAGGGTGGACAATCACCAAATACCAGAAGATGCTGAAGCAGGTGTGGAAGAGGATACTGCTGTACAAGTTAAAATGCAATCTGAAGTGGATGAACTTGCACATAAATTCATCAAAAATCCAGTGCTGCCCACTGGCATAGTAGTGTATCAGGAAGGGAAGGCTGGTTAAGTAGAGTAGGTCTGTGAGGGCCAAGTTCAGCATAATGATGGTTAGTGATGCTCTTCCAAGGTCTCATTTTGAAACTGTAAACACATGTTTCCTGGGAAGCCCAACAGGAAGATGATGCTGTACACAGGAGGGAGATACAAAATCTTGAGAATGGCTTCCACGTCAGTGCAGTTGGGGAGATCACTCTCAGTGTTTTGCCGGAGGGCAGACTTGGTTAAGTCTTCACATATATTCATGCTTTTTTCCTTAATGCTTAAGGAAGAGACAAATATTTATTATGCACTAATATATAAATTCAAATGAGTCAACCCATCTTGCTCTATGAGGACTTTTTATTGACAGACAAACCCTCTAGTAGTCAGGTCTTTCCCTTCAACTCCCTATCACAGTCACTATCAAAGGGCTCTTGTTGAATAAGAAAAAGCCTCGTTCTTTTGGTGAGAATTGATCCTGATCTAGTAGCTTTTTATTCACATCAATAGATAGATAGATAGATAGATAGAGAGACAGACAGACAGACTTTTTTTTTTTTTTCTGGGAAGGGTCTGCACAAGTGTTCTGTAACTTAAATGTAATGGGTTTCCAGCATCACAGTGTATCAGTTGTGCTCGGCAGTATGCAAAGTTCATCTTCTGCTTTTATCAAAGAGCAACTGGAGCATATGGAAAAACTGTTTGTCTTCAGCTATTCATCCAAAGAATAAAGGAGAATATCCATATTATTTTCGGTTTGTAAAAACTATTCACATCTTCTCCAAATTAACTGGAAAATAGTGCAGGCGATGAAATTATTTCATATTCTTTATGATACTGGAATTGATTAACATTTTTCTTGATCCTTCTTGAAAACAACAGATATAGGAATATTTAATTCTTTTAATTGATTAACATGACTAATATTGGAAGAAATAAGTTATGTTTAGCCTTGCCATTAACGGCACTCTAAATTTCTGTCCCTGTAAACATTTTAAATAGTTTTGCTTAAAGAGTAGATTCTTTTCTGAAAAGCCAAAATAAATTCATCCAGCTTTGCATAACAGCCACTCTCAAGATGCAATATGGGACTTGAGCTGTGTTTTTGAAATTAGAGAAAAGAGGAGTTGAATACATGCTCCACCCAGTAGAAAATACAGGGCCACTGAAGCTGCTAGCAAATAACCGCTAATGTTGCATCTAGCAAATGCACTTGTGTTTGTTAATACCTTCTTTCTTTTCCAATGGAGTAGCTGTTCTGATGGAAAAAAAGAAGAATAAACTTTCAGTATAATTATTTTCTGAGGGGTGCTACCTATTATGGGGCTTTGCCCCATCAAAAATTTCTGCCTCCTGGATTTGTTTAAATGCACCATACTGAATCATCTCTTCCATTTTTTGTATCACACTGATTTTTTTTTCCTTCCTTCCTTCACTTACTTGTGAAATCTCATAGAGCCAGACTTGCAAATTTTGTGAGGAAAATTAGTTGGAATATGTTTAAAACATTCTAGAAAATGTAGCTGGAGTTTGAGGAGAGACGTTAAACATTGCCATTTGTTTGCAGAGAGCCACACAGGTTCAAATCGCTTTTCATGGTTGGAAATAGAGGAGGAGACAGTCTGGATAAAGCTGTGTCTTGGGTGCAAGTGTGCAGCATTTGCCAAATTATCATTCCTATCCAACCCAACAGCGTGAGGAAGACAAGACAGTCTGTGAAATGTCAGTGTTGTCTGCTGCCTGGTATTTCATATGAGCAGAAGGATGCAGTTGGACTAGGGGAAAGAGGGTGATGTGCAGAGGAAAGCAGATTACAAGTCATGCAGTTATAGCATTATCCTCAAACAAACTTAGAGCCATCAGTTTGGTTAATATTTAACCAGCCAAAGAGTAAAGGCCCCATCCGGCAGTAGAGATCCCAGTGTGTTGTCTGCCCCTGGAAGCAGCCAGCACTGCACACACCTCCATGTTTACAGTGCACAAGCATTAAAAGAGCTGAAGGGCATATCTGGAGATTGCTTCATGCGGCAGGGCCCTGCCCTTGGTGGATTTGCGTAACTGATTTGGTCACCAGACCTTTTTCTGCACGTTCTCTCTTGGTATCTGCCTCCCTTCCGAGAACGTGAGTCTCTTGCAGGCCAGGCCACTGCAAAGCCGGTGCTGGCTAAGCAAATCCATAGTGGAGACAAGTGTTTCAGGAAAAGCCCATGGGTTTGGATCTACCTATGCAATGTAACAGGTTACCACAATAGCCACAGGAAGGCGACAGCAAGTCTTTGCTGTCGGCCTTATTATTTTGTTGTCTGAATTACAAATATAATTTAGACAATACTTAAGTCTAATTAAGCAACAGTTTGTACCGAGGCAGATTTTATCACACTAAGTAATTGGCTGTAATGGGGCTTCTGCAGCCAAGGCGGAGGGCAAATGATATATTCTGTAGACATATAATGAACTTTAAATAAATTATCCAAGAGCAGAACTCATAATAAAAGGGAACTAGATTATTGAAATAGAAATCCTCTTTCAGTCTTAATGGTGGAGTCACTGCTCTATTATATAGTGTGCTTTACTGTAACCAATTGATTGGAGTCACTTTAAAAAATGCTGTGATTGCTTGTCTTTAATTGCAGTCACGTATAAGGGAAACTTGTCTACTTCTGCATTGTGATAATTTAATTAGAGCCTGCTGGAAATAAAAGCCAAATGGCTGCATCCAAGGCAAAGTAACCTAATGCCTGTAATTGGACTATATTTCACACAGATGTGTTGCTGAGTAAATTAAGTAGGATTTGGCTTGCAGTGTTTGACTCTTCCACTGGCTCAGACTTAAGAAACACAAATGATATATTTGAGAATGAAGATGTGAGCCCTCCTCCCCTTACACTTTATCATTCAGTGAAGTATCTCCATGCAGAAAGAGTTTGTGAATTTCAGTATTCAGTGCATTGCAGATAAGTCTTATTTGTTCTATGCTTTCACCATCTTTTAACCCTTTGCTCCTCCTTCCCCACTTCAGCGTGCCTCCAAATTGAGACCTTTAAAAGCAAATATGCATTTTACCTGCATACCCTTTGTGATCTCCCCTGTCCTCTTCATAGCTGGAGCCTAAAATATCCCTCTCCAGAGTGGTGCTGCGCCATGGGGCAAGCGTGGTGCCCACCCTCGGCAAGGGCTCCGAGTCGAATCCCCGCAGCGGGGCCGCGCGGCTGGCCGTCCCTGTCCTGCCCAGCCTCCACGGCCGGCATGGGCTGCAGGTACGAGCCCTGTGTTCCTCACCAGGTCGGCTGGGACTGCCCGTAACCTGCGTGGTTCGGTGGCAGGGGGTTGTTTGGGGCATTTCCAGCCTTGCCGAGAGAGGCGGTAAAGGTGCACGTGGAAGCAGTGCCCAAATGAAGAAACACTGAGAGTGGAGAGCAGGCCCAAAGGAGCCCTCTGCTCCCCAGCTGGGAGCTCCCTTTGCGGGGGGACCCATGGGAAGTCCAGAGGCACAAGGTTGAGCACTTGGGGAGGAGCAAGGTCGGTTTCCTCCCATGGGAAGTCCAGAGGCACAAGGTTGAGCACTTTAGGATGAGCAAGGCCTGTCATACAGGCAGTGTTTCTTTTACTTGCTTTGCATGCTGAGCTGCGAGGAGCAGAGATCTGCTCAGAGATGCTGCTCTAAACATGGCAGGGGGACAAATAGTCAAAGATTGCATGGAGTGACTTGGCTTTTTGGTGTGCATATGACACAATAGAGACTTCCTATAGAGTCAGGATTTACACCTTTTGCTTAATCTTCTCTCCCCCTTGCCTTAGTTTTTGATTTGTGGGCTAACTGTCCTTGGTTTGCTGCCAGGTTGTTTCAATGCATTGATTGTTTCTCTATTTTCATGCTTCTCTTTTCCTGTGAAGAAGAAAAAGCATAAGCACTCCAGATTTGATTTTAAATTAAATATTTGCAAACTTATGTGAACAGGTATGGAAGTTATTATCTTGAGAAGGAAATATTTAGAATGGACTGAAAAGAACTTGGATTTTTTTCCAACACTGAATTTAATTTTGCATTTAGAAATATTGCTCATTTGCAGCTATTATTTACTTTCTAATGATAATAAGAGATGTGAACCTGGAAACACAAGCAATTATATACTGCAAAATGTAATGATGAATCAGGTTCAAATTATTTAGCAAATATAACTTTTAAAATCATTGCATAACTGTCCTGTTTTTTTTTATCTCTATATGAAGCTTTCAATATTGGCCATCTTCACATGAATGAATTGGAGCTTACTAGCCATGCATAATTTGTTCTCCTTGACTCTTTCTGGTATATGTTTAATCTACATTTAGCTTTAATGAAACCGTTCATTTAGATTTCAAAAATGAACAAATTCAGAAATAAGGTGACAATGATCTACACAACCCCAAACGTGTTGCACAGTATAGAAAGAGCTGAAACCATTTTTGCTATGAAACCAGCCACTGCATAGTAATAATTTCATTACGACACATCATAGAAAGATCTTGCAAATTTGTTTTGCCAGGTGTATGGGAAGCCACGGAGGAGTCATGTGAAGGTGTAAGTTCTTCAGCCATCACAGTACATCTCAACATATAGATGAAGAACTTTATGCATTTTTTTAAGAAGTTCCTGTTAATGTATAATGATTTTGAAAATCTGTGAGAAATTGGAAAAGGGCTTTAGGAACGAGCACATTCTGACAGATGTGTTATGATATGTCTTGAGAGATGTATGAGTTTTTAGAGTTTCACCCTGTTAGTTCCTTTAAGAGTAGATTTAAACATGACATGGTGATTGCCATGATTACATCCCTGGGAAGAGACTTCTGGCATAAACCGAGCTGGAGTTCAACTTCAATCTGGACTAGAAGGGAAGCACAAATATTTCTCAGTGAAGGTGAGTAAAAGAAATTCTCTTAGTAATATGGAAGATTCTTCAACTTTTTCAGTTGTTAATCAACATCAACCATCTTCTGAGTAAATACTGGTGCAGTTGCAGAGCAATATGAGATGATGTTGTCATGCAACTTCAGAGCGGAGATGGCTGTTTTTAAAGGCCAGAAGGACCATTAGAAAGCCCATTCTTGCACGGCCATAGAATTTTCCTCAGAATTTCTAAAAGCTATTGGTTAGAAGTTTTTTTTGTAATAAAAGAAATCTTGATTTGAAGAGCTAGAGAATCATTTTCTTCTTTTGATGCTGAATATGCATCACGCCCAAAGTTAAAATCATGTGCCTATATTTTTATTTGATTCTGTCTA